CTGCCGTTTATGAATGAAAAAATCTTAACAAACTTAACCATTTTATATCCATTATTTCGTGTCCAAATCTGTGTTGACATGAGCAGCACACTATTGATTTTTCTCTTATGCTATTTCAAACACTTTTTGGCGTTTACAGATAATATACATGGAGCATTTTTAAACTGCCTTCATGAGGGATTCGTCAAATCCTCGTCATAAGCGTTTTCGCCGTTTTCTGTTCACGTTCAAATGAATCTGTGTTCATTCTGTAGAATCGTTCCCAAAACTGAACGTGCAATCTAAGTGGGGCATAACATGGACAATTCAGTGAGTAATTATCCAAAGAAATAACATGGGCAAGATAAAGCTTTAGGATAATATTAGATGTGTAATCACTAACGATTCTACAAATGAAACCCTGTATCCCTTTCCGGCTTACTTAGAACATAATTACATTGATTTCTTGGTCTGAGGTTCTTAAGAATTGTCATTCCCAGATCTGTTCTTACTCAGATTTTGGTCATTTCTGTGTTATTCAGGTGATTTTCAGTATTAAAATTTTCAAAGCACTGACATACCTTTGTCAGTATTAATCTGCTCCTGTCAATTTATGGTTCAATACAAAAGTCTAAATTGTCCTGAAGCTATCTTAAGGCTTTGACTAAATACTTTTCACGACCTATTTTAGTTTTACGGCAAAAATATGCTAGTGTTGCCGTTCACTCTTGTTCATTTATATATATATGGCAAATAATAGAAGACCTAGGATAGAGCCCTTTGGTACTCCACAGGTGACAGGATAGAACCCTGTGGTACTCCACAGGTGACAGGATAGAACCCTGTGGCACTCCACAGGTGACAGGATAGAACCCTGTGGTACTCCACAGGTGACAGGATAGAACCCTGTGGCACTCCACAGGTGACAGGATAGAACCCTGTGGCACTCCACAGGTGACAGGAGTAGAACCCTGTGGTACTCCACAGGTGACAGGATAGAACCCTGTGGCACTCCACAGGTGACAGGATAGAACCCTGTGGCACTCCACAGGTGACAGGATAGAACCCTGTGGCACTCCACAGGTGACAGGATAGAACCCTGTGACACTCCACAGGTGACAGGATAGAACCCTGTGGCACTCCATAGGTACAGAACCCTAGGGTACTCCACTTTTAATAAAGTCCTGCTCGGATTTGACTCCCATTATTCTTACCTTCTCTGTGTTGTATCTAAATCTTCATTAAATTTAAGATACTCCTCCAATACCAGTTTCTCACGAGCAGTATGAAACACTTTAGTGAAGTTTATATATTTAATGTCGTAATCTTTGCCACAGTCGAGTACTTGAAATATATCGGAAAAGACAATGAAAGTAAATTTATTAAGAATGAACGGTCTCAAGTAAAATAATTCTGTCAGTCCGATAGTTCGATACAAATTACTATATCCCCCGTCCCGGAAAAATCTGTACCACATCTGCAACCCTCCATGATTCCGGTACTCTGCTCGATATTAATGATTTGTTAAATATACCAGACTCGGGTAGACTAAGCTCATATTTGCATCTATTTCTGAACCTTGCATATATTCTTCATCTGGTCTGACCGTAAATTTGATCAAGTGCTTGCAAACAGTTGTTACATTCGAAGCAAATAGACATTAAAAACTAAAATAAAAGTTCAGAATTAAGCAATGATGCGTATTAAACAACTCGCATTTATATGCATGAATTTATGAATTGTATTTTATAGAAATAAATAAAAAAAATTAAACAAATTCAAAATTAGGTAAGCATGCTCATTTGTTCATTTGTTAGAGTTTGTTATACCAATTCCAACGGGGGGAATGGGTTGAGATTGTTCCAGGGTGAAAGTTGTGGTAGAGTGTTCAGGTGTTGGATCCTCAGGACGCAGAGACGCGCGTACCCCGTTATACCTTGGTCACGATGACACCCACTCAAGGTCTCTAGACAGCCAGTAGAGGAGCTGTCCTTGTATGTGAACTGAAGCAATGCAGTGTGTGTGTGTGTGTGTGTGTGTGTGTGTGTGTGTGTGTGTGTGTGTGTGTGTGTGTGTGTGTGTGTGTGTGTGTGCACTCACCTAATACTCACCTAGTTGTGTTTGCGGGGGTTGAGCTCTGGCTCTTTGGTCCCGCCTCTCAACCGTCAATCAACAGGTGTACAGGTTCCTGAGCCTATTGGGCTCTATCATATCTACACTTGAAACTGTGTATGGAGTCAGCCTCCACCACATTACTTCCTAATGCATTCTATTTGTCAACCACTCTGACACTAAAAAAGTTCTTTTTAATATCTCTGTGGCTGTGTGTGTGCGCGTGTGCGTGCGTGTGTGTGCACCCTCATGAGAGACAGAAGATATAGGGTTCTATTCCCCTAATTTCACTCACCTAATCATAATTACAGTGACTGACTTTACTTGTTTATAATATAATTATTAAATGATAGGGGCCCATTCTAGTACATATTTTCACCAATATATTACCTCGTCTGGGTAACTCGGACCATGGCTCCAAGAGGCCGACACGTAACAATGCGGCAGGTGGTGGTTCTGAAGTGAAGGTCGTGGGTACTACCCTGTTTGCTTGCTGGGTATTTGAAGGGCCTCAACTTCGAGCGTGAAGAATGATCTCATGGGTCAGACAGCTATTAACAGGATCCTGACCCGGGATGGCAGGTGACTGATGGTCTTAACTTGCATGCTTCAAGTTAAAGACAGTTTTTAGTGTAAATTTTGAATATAGCTTATTCTCTGTTTCTCTCTCTGTCTCTCTGTCTCTGTCTGTCTGTCTGTCTCTCTCTCTCTCTCTCTCTCTCTCTCTCTCTCTCTCTCTCTCTCTCTCTCTCTCTCTCTCTCTCTCTCTCTCTCTCTCTCTCTCTCTCTCTCTCTCTCTCTCTCTCTCTCTTTCTCCCCCCGATATGGGCGTGTTCCCACACTTGAAAAAAACCCATTACCGGCGGCCACCACTGAGCACAGCAAGTCACCCTCCACTGCCAGCCTGTTCGGTTATTAGACTGTTCTCCTTCCTGGTACCACATTTCACCTACATTTACAAAAGCACATAGCTTAAATAGCAATTATAAAACTAATCTCTCTTACATAGAGTGAAGTAAGTTGAATCACGAAGTCATATACATGGTTTTTCTTTTGAAGAAACTCTATAATTCGAATCAGAGCTCGTAGGAAGATGAGTGATGAGCCCTTGACTGTGATCTGAGGAAGGCCACACTCATCCATCTGTGATGGTAACAGATGGGAAGTGAGAACTGGGTGTTGCCTGATGCTCTCATTTGATGATATCGGTGAGAATACTGAGGTCGGCTCACAGGGAACAGACAGAGAAGGACCCGAGGACAGAAGAGCAGCACCTGAAGGCAGACAGGAACACCAATTCAGATGTTGACGAACACCTTGGATACAAATATCTACAAGCATGTGGGAACAGGTATTTACAGACAAATGATTACAGACATACATCCACATGGGTACAGACTTATACAGACAATGGGTACAAACATATACGGATAAATGAGTACATACAGACAAATTGGAACATAGACAAATGGGTACAGACATACACACACGCACGCACAAGTATAAACATGCGTGTGCGTGCGTCAATGTGGGCCTTACCTTATCAAACAGAAAACTAAACTAGATAGTCACCAAACTTGTCCCAGAGATGAGAGGCATGAGAGACATGATAAAATAAAATTAAATCTCATTTCATTGGCGGAGAAGAAAGAGGGAAGACATGACCATAAACAAGTTTCTCAATTAAATTAATACAAAGGACAATAATAGGTGATTTGAAAAGGATGGTGCACAAGCAAGGGCGCACAGGAAGAAACTTATCACCCAAATGAGTCACAGAGATATTAGAAAAAAAAATCCAGAGCATAAACTAAGAAGTGTTTATGTTCCTGTTCCTATCTAAAATCCTGTCTGGTCCTGTGACTTTCATTATGTCTGGTCCTGTGACTTTCATTATGTCTGGTCCTGTGACTTTCATTATGTCTGGTCCTGTGACTTTAATTATGTCTGGTCCTGTGAATTTCCTTATGTCTGGTCCTGTGACCTTCATCCTGTCTAATTATTAACGTCTGAGGTCACCTCCAGTACAGTAAATCTTTCTTGTATGTGTGTGTGCTATTGTATGCTGTATTCTATGCTTTATTGTGAGTGGAGAATGGAAGTTATTGTAGCAAAACAGGTGATTCCTGTAACGAAAGTTTTATACCAGTAATGTTCAGAAAGTATTGACCATAATATGCGGCGAGCTGTTGCATAAGTATTTCCTGGTACTTCATATCTTTTGTACTTTCACAAGAGCATTAGAAATAGGGCTGTAAGCTCCAAATGGCCGGAGGGAACCTGTTAATAGTACACCTATTCCTGACACAAACACGTCAGTGAGATGATTAAGCGGTTGATAAGGATGGCATTTGCACCGCTAAACGCTAGCAGAGGTGACGGAGCCTAACCTTTCCGAGTAAGCCGGGGGACTCAAACAGAAAACGGGACAGTACGTCACTTTTGTGAGCCGATTTCATTTCAAATTACGTCCATTTTTTGGCTATAGCGCGCATACGTGCGGAAAGCGACGTTATTTTTAAGAGGACGCGGTTGCGTTGTCACGTTAGCTATCAGAAGAGTCGCTGACGCTATTCCGCGTGCCGTAAAGGTCGTTGATTGAATCTGACCTTCAGAGACCACTGAGTTGAAAAGTTTTTGTTGTTGAAAAGTTGAAATTATAACCTTTTTATATATAAATTATAGCTCCAATCCCTTTTTGCGATTCCCTCTTGTTCGCAAATCGCCATATAATTAATTTTTACGGGTTTTCAGTTTTTGTTGAACCTCGATATAGGAACTTTTAAATAGTTTTGTAGTACAGTATAGGGATTAAAAATGCCCCCCCCCAAAAAAAAAAAAAATTATCCATAGCTAAGAAGCACTGTTGCGAATCTTGGTTGAATTGGGACATGTTTTTCCTCCTACAGATGACCTCGCCGGCACTCCTGTTGCTGGTGCTGTGGGCAACCGCACCGCTTGTACCGCCCACGGTGGAGGCCCACCCTCACCCCACGCCCACAGCCCGCCCACGCTCCTCCACACACAACGCCCAGGTGAGCTAACTGGATTATATAGTTTTAAAGGTATTTATTGACCGTACCAAGGGCCATCTTGGTAAACATTCACACACACACACACACACACACACACACACACACACACACACACACACACACACACACACCGGTGGCTGAGCGGACAGCACCCTGGACGCGTGATCCTGTGGCCCCGGGTTCGATTCCAGGCGCCGGTGAGAAACAATGGGCAGAGTTTCTTTCACCCTGAATGCCCCTGTTACCTAGCAGTAAATAGGTACCTGGGAGTTAGTCAGCTGTCACGGGCTGCTTCCTGGGTGAGTGTGTGTGTGTGTGTGCGTGGGGAGGGGATAGTAGTTAGTAACAGTTGATTGACAGTGGAGAGGCGGGCCGAAAGAGCAGAGCTCAACCCCCACAACCACAACTCGGTGAAAACATACTCAGGGTCCTCGCGGCTGAGCGAACAGCGTTCGGGATTTGCAGTTCTCGGATCTCACATTGATTCTCAGCCTAGACAGAAACAAATGGGCGAAGTTTCTTTCATCTGATGTCTCTTCACCTGGAAGTAAATAGGTACCTGGGAATTAGTCAGGTGTTGCGAGTTGCATCCTGTAGATGTATATGTGGATATGTGTGTGTGTGTGTGTGTGTGTGTGCTTAATATACGAAAAATACATTTCATAATACAGTAATTGTTACAGTTCTAACTATAATTTCTCTCTCTCTCTCTCTCTCTCTCTCTCTCTCTCTCTCTCTCTCTCTCTCTCTCTCTCTCTCTCTCTCTCTCTCTCTCTCTCCCCCACACACACCATAACACCCCTGCACGTCTCGCCAACATCATGCTCCAGTTACTGTCTGAAAATGAAATAATTCAAGAGTATAAAACAGGGACTGAAAATTAACATTCCCCCAGACAGACGAGTCACGGAATGGACTCCGTTATGTCATGAGAAGTTCGACCCATCCCCCCTTATAACGGGATATGGACCACCCTGTTATGTTATAGTGGTCAGACTTATTTGCTGAACAATGCGGATGAAAGTCTCTTTGTAGTGGAGAACAATCACATATGACGGGAACGTTTTTTTTTTGTAATATAAGTTATCGTTTTATGAGAGAGTTGAAGGGACGAGGTTTAGGGAGAGGAGAGATGTAGAAAAGGAGGGAGGGGAGGAGATAGGGATTGAAGGAAGGAGATAGAAAGGAAGGAAATATGAAAGGAGATAGGAAGAGAGGTAGAAAGAGAGAGGAAAGCAATCGTATACTGAGGGAGAGAAATGAGATAGGGAGAGAAGGCTAGGCATTAGGGAGAGGAGGCAAGGTGATAAAAATGGAGAAAAGGAGATAGGTAGGGATTAAACTAGTGTCATAAATCTATCAGTTAATTAATCTGCCTTTTATATTGCTATACATGAAATAAAATGGAATTATAATATATTGTCACACACACACACACACACACACACACACACACACACACACACACACACACACACACACACACACACACACACACACACACACGCACACACACATATATTTGTGCCCAATACAATAAGTCTTCTGTATGTCTCAAGTCTACTGCGAAATCCAAAATCAAGACACAGCAGTGAATCAAGTATCACATCTCCCTTGCTAAAAATATGCGACCACGAAATGGCATCCGTGACTGGTCGAGTAGGGTATAAGACATCATCGCTGTTCTAGACCCTAACCTAACCTAACCCAATCTTAACCCGACCTATCCTAGCCTAGCCTGACTGAACCTAATGATAAAATATTGTGTGACGTCACTGTGACGTCATAATGAGCATGGCGATACAGGTTTTAGATCCTACTTGACCTGTGTCATGTATCATGTGTCGTCACGTATCATGTGTGGTGTGTGCTGGTGGAGGAGCGACCTCAGGGCCATGGCTGGGGTTTCTGGCCGGGCTATCATGTTAGGAGCCTCAACATAGCCTTCAAATACAAGGAAAGTTCCTCTGATCATGTTGCTGTATAATTTCCTACATCAACATGACTGTAGATACTACCTGCTTTAGGGCTCTCGGACCAGATTCACGAAGCAGTTACGCAAGCACTCACGAGCCTATACATCTTTTCTCAATCTTTGGTGGCTTTGTTTACAATTATTAAACAGTTGATGAGCTCCGAAGCACCAGGAGGCTGTTTATAACAATAACAACAGTTGATTGGGAAGTTTTCATACTTGTAAACTGTTTAATAAATGTAACTAAAGACGTTAAAGATTGAGGAAAGATGTTCACGTTTGTAAGTATTTGCGTAACTGCTTCGTGAATCTGGCCCCAGGTTGCGTTAGTATTCTCTCCAACATGAGAATAATTAACGTGAAGAAGTTACACTGAAAATAGTATATTTGGAGGCGATGAGTCACAATAACGTGGCTAAAGTAAGTTGACCACACCACACACTAGAAGGTGAAGGGACGACGACGTTTCGGTCCGTCCTGGACCATTCTCAAGATCGACTTGAGAATGGTCCAGGACGGACCGAAACGTCGTCATCCCTTCACCTTCTAGTGTGTGGTCTAGTCAACTAGCATATTTGCTCAGGTGAGGTGTATGAACTTATAGTTACCTCAAGAGATGGGAGAGGTACTTATCCAAAACATGGGAAGGAAGGAAGGAGAAAGCACCAAGCCATTATGACTATATAGCACTTGCTAAGGATTTGGGAGGGGACGGGGGAGGGTAAGGAATGGTGCCCAACCACTTAGACGGTCGGGGGATTGAACGCCAACCTGCAGGAAGCGAGACATCTGATGGAGCCTGTGCGAGGCAGGCAAGAAGGATTTGCTTTCCACATATGTAAAAAGGAACTTAAAAAAAATATATCAACTAAGAAACTTTCCTTTTATAGATAAAATATTTGGGAGAAAAATAGCGGTCGTAGATGTGACTGGAAGCTCGACGAAAAATAAATATTTACCAAATTATATAATACAATTAAAAGGAAAAGTGTTCGTCATATCAGCTCACTTGACCTCAAATATAAGCTAGTACTTCCACCAGAAAATTGTATCTCAATCTCCCTTTCATTGCGGCTGTCATGCCTCATGTCCCGGTCGGCCGAGCGGACAGCAGGCTGGTCTTGTGATCCTGTGGTCCTGGGTTCGATCCCAGGCGCCGGCGAGAAACAATGGGCGGAGTTTCTTTCACCCTATGCCCCTGTTACCTAGCAGTAAAATAGGTACCTGGGTGTTAGTCAGCTGTCACGGGCTGCTTCCTGGGGGTGGAGGCCTGGTCGAGGACCGGGCCGCGGGGACACTAAAAAAAGCCCCGAAATCATCTCAAGATAACCGGTCCCTGCTAGGTGAGGGAACACTCCCATAGCACCAGCTATACGATGAATCTATTTGCTCTAGGAGGTAAGTAACCTACTTTCCAGGAGGAAATGAAGGAAACTCTTCCACGGAAGATCAGAGAAAATCACTAGCCAGAGGAGATGCGAGGAAACCATCTGCCACGAATAAGAACTCTGACCTATCCTGAGAACACTCTGACCTATCCTGAGAACACTTCAGGATATTAGCAGAATCTTCATAAATTGTAACGAAACATCGTGGCACAAATTTAAGGAACCTGCTTCCCACAGCTCATGTTGAAAGAACTTTACTTACAGAAACTGCGCAAGAGAAACTAAAAACTAAAGATAACGTGAGAGAAACTTGGAGCAGATGACACGAATAAAGTTTACACGCTTCAGGAGGAATCGTGGGAAACACTGACGAAGGAGGTTCGTGAGAGCAACTTGCATGGTACAATAAATTTCGTGCAAAGGACTTAGACCGTGCATAGCAAAGAATGGAAAAGCAAATGTTAGATAGAAGGAAAAGTGAGGAATTGTTACGGCTCAGTAGACGGCATGAGAGGAAGGTTCATGTAGACTTGAGACACGACGTACTCATGGACGCATGAGTACGTCTTACCTATTACGAAGGATGAGACACACTTGCCTCCCTCGAAGCCCGGTGGCGGTACATTCATATCACGAACACTGGGAGGTCCGTGCCTGCCACGAACACTGGGGGAGGTCCGTGCCTCTCACGAACACTGGAAGGTCCGTGCCTGCCACGAACACTGAGAGGTCCGTGCCTGTCACGAACACTGGGGGAGGTCCGTGCCTGTCACGAACACTGTCGGAGGTACGTGCCAATCGCGACACGCACGAAAGGCGCCGACAGGCAACCTATTACAGGGTTGATCTAAGAGTAGATTGCTTTGCGCCGTAGAAGACAAGATAACGACATAGATCGACATAGATCATAGATCATGATCTAAATAACGAGGAGACATGATCTGTGGATATAAAGGATATTTTTGCTCTTGCAATTACATGCGGACTCCTTCCTCGTGCAGGTATCACGTAAGACGAACATCTTAGACAAACTCAAGTGATAGACGAGGACAGAGAGCCTAGGCAAATAAGGTGCAGGGACAGAAACTTCCTAGGAGCAAGACACAAATGCTTACCACAGGTACCACAGTATTTGGCTCTTGACACAAGCCGTAGAGCACTTTACCGCTTGGCCTAATGTCCAGTTGTGCACTTTGCTTTATATCTGCTTATATATATTATGAATTTAAATATATCTCCTTCCCCCTCAGTGAGTCTCTGTAAATTGCTACAAAGAGATGGTTTGGATCACTTTTTAATTTCAAGTTTTAACTGTTTGCTTTTGATGATAATGCTCAATTTTCATGTATAAATGTCACGAGAGACAGGTTAACTTCGTGGCCTTTATCTTTCTTTGTCACGCATTCACCAACATTATGAAAATTGGCCTAATAGCCGTAGCCCCTGACTTATCGAAGGTGCTTTGAAAAATCTCCGAGACTACTGTTACCTCTCCGTCAGGTTGCAGTAGTTCTAGTGTAGACTGCACTGTGAACGGTGCTTCAGTTGGATTTGTATATTCACTGTAGCGATATTTGAGATGTTTTCTTTCCTAGCGTTTCTACAACTTTCCTAACGTTTAATACAAGAAAAAACAA